TGGCATCCTGGGGTGCATTAGGAGGAGTGTGGCCAGTAGGTCAAGGGAGGTTCTCCTTCCCCTCTACTCTGCCCTAGTGAGGCCTTATCTGGAGTACTGTGTCCAGTTCTGGGCTCCCCAGTTCAAGAAAGATGAAGAGCTACTGGAGAGGGTCCAGTGGAGAGCTACGAGGATGATGAGGAGACTGGAGCATCTCTCCTACGAGGAGAGGCTGAGAGAGCTGGGCTTGTTCAGCCTGAAGAAGAGAAGGCTGAGAGGGGACCTAATATATGCCTATAAATATCTGAAGGGTGGGTGTCAGGAGGATGGGGCCAAACTCTTTTTAGTAGTGCCCAGCGACAGGACAAGGGGCAACGGGCACAAAATGAAGCCAGGGGGGTTGGACTAGATGACCCACAGAGGTCCCTTCCAACCCCTACTATTCTGTGAAAAGGAACTGAATGTTGTGTAAGTACGACTATTGATGGACTCCAGTCTGATCAGCTTGTAAACAACCCTTAAAGGTTTTGGGTTTAGCTGATCAGAAATATTCCCCAACTTTGCTTTATAATGTACTATGGACCAAACTGATAGTACCAAAAGAATTCTTTCTCCCTCCCTCAGCCTCGTTGCTAGGAACTGGTAAATTGCTTAAATATAAATTGCAACTCCAGACAACTTGATTGGATTAAAAAAAAAACAACTATTAAATGGGATATAAATTAAATACCATAATAAATATGTGTTCTATAAATTAAATCTTGGAAAATGCAACTTTTCTTTTATGTACGAGCAGGTTTTCAAGGTATATTTTTTCAGTTCTCCCTAAGTGCCTAATGTCTGGTAGAAATGAGACATCATTCTGCTAATTCAAACATTTGAGTCCCTTGAGTGTCTGTTTTCTTGAAAAGGTACATGAATTTCTGCATTTTAAGCTTCTCTTAGCATAACATGTTTACCTGAGCTTCACCAGCCATTCAGCCTTCTTTATGAAAAGAAGAAGTTGTCATTACATCTTGTAATGGACAACTAGAAGTTGAGCTGAGGTACTCTGTTGTGAATCAGGGTAAAAGCTCTAGAGGAACCTGCCCCATTCGCCTCGTCTGGCACGTGTTTCCAAAATGGCTGCAGTCAGGTAGAGGGTGATCATCGTCGACCTTGTGGAGGGTTGAAGGCAGCGAGTTTTCCAAAACCTCCAGCACAGAAATTTTGCTGAACTTTTCTCAAATGTTGAGTTTGCATAAGAATCTCCTTATCCCTCAGAGGGAGACTTTGAATGCAGAAATGTTGTCATCTAATGCCATGTTCAAACTGAAAGTCTTTGTGCAAAGTTTCTATGGAACTAGATTGCAAAACACATGGGCTAGTCTGTCTGGTATTAAAAAAAAAAAAAAGACAGATCTTGCTACTGCTGAGCAGAATGAAAATAGCAATGTGAGTGCCACTGGATCCTGTTCTCCTGACCAGTGTGATTTGATGTCTGAATGGGTTTCCTTCCACAGCTGAACTTTGTAATAAATACACACTCCAAAGTACGTTACTGCTAACCTTAGACATAAACTACAGGTGGTCAAAATCTGTTCTTCAGTTAATCTCTTCTTTGGTAGTGATTGCCTTAGGAAGGATCTAACCCTGAGTCTGCAAATTGCATCCTGTTTGCATCTGAAGAATTCTTACAAGTGTGATCTTGAGCTATGATTTGACTTTTTTTTTTTTTTCCCCAGCTCTTATGGTGAGTAATGTGACGTTAAGTCACAAGATTTCTTCTTCCTGACTGGCTGATACAAATTTGAAGCAAGAGGGGAAAAATAATGAGTTTCTATTGTTCAGCTGTGGATGATAAACGTTCATTTTCAAGTTCTTAACAATTTCAGGGTCTTACGAATATTTTAATGAATATGTAACAGGTGATACTCATAAGAAATATGACCTCATGATTCCCGATGAATTAGAGGGATCTTTGCAATTATTTCTTTTGTTATAGTAAGCATTACCTTGAACACATCTCTGCAGATTTTCTGCTGGATAAAATGAATATGAACGTGTAACAAAAGCAAAGGTTTGATCTGTGTATGTGTAATCGTCTTATGTGTGCATATATAAATGTCAAAAGTTAGGAAACAATGCAATCTCAACATTTTACTGAGATAACTGAGAATATGAATGAACAGCCCAAGTCTTAAAAGATGACTATATTATCAGGAGTAGTCAACATGGATTCACCAAGAAGAAATCATGCTTGACCAATCTGATAGCTTTCTACGATGGCATGACCGGATGGGTAGATGAGGGGAGAGCAGTGGATCTGCCTTGACTTCAGCAAGGCTTTTGACACTGTCTTGCACAACATCCCCCTAGGGAAGCTCAGGAAGTGTGGGCTGGATGAGTGGTCAGTGAGGTGGATTGAGAAGTGGTTGAAAGGCAGAGCTCAGAGGGTTGTCATCAGTGGCACAGAGTTTAGTTGGAGGCCTGTAACTAGTGGTGTTCCCCAGGGGTCAGTACTTGGCCCAGTTTTGTTCAACTTCTTCAGCAATGACCTGGATGAAGGGACAGAGTGTACCCCCAGCAAGTCTGCTGATGACACCAAACTGGGAGGTGTGGTAGATACACCAGAAGGCTGTGCTGCCATTCAGTGAGACCTGGACAGGCTGGAGGAGTTGGGCGCAGAGGAACTTGATGAAATTCAACAAGGGCAAGTGCAGGGTCCCGTACCTGGGGAGGACCAACCCCATGCACTAGTACAGGCTCGGGGCGGACCTGCTGGAGAGCAGCTCTGTGGAGAGGGACCTGGGTGTCCTAGTGGACGACAGGTTGGTCATGAGCCAGCAGTATGCCCTGGTTGCCAAGAAGGCCAATGGGATCCTGGGATGCATTAGGAGGAGTGTAGCCAGCAGGTCGAACGAAGTTCTCCTTCCCCTCTACTCTGCCCTAGTGAAGCCTTATCTGGAGTACTGTGTCCAGTTCTGGGCTCCCCAGTTCAAGAAAGATGAAGAGCTACTGGAGAGGGTCCAGTGGAGGGCTTTGAGGATGGTGAGGAGACTGGAGCATCTCTCCTATGAGGAAAGGGTGATGGAGCTGGGCTTGTTCAGCCTGAAGAAGAGAAGGCTGAGAGGGGACCTTATAAATGCTTACAAATATCTGAAGGGTGGGTGTCAGGAGGATGGAGCCAAGCTCTTTTCACTGGTGCCCAGCGACGGGACAAGGGGCAATGGGCACAAACTGAAGCAGAGGAAGTTCCGTCTGAACATGAGGAAGAACTTCTTCCCTCTGAGGGTGACGGAGCACTGGAACAGGTTGCCCAGGGAGGTTGTGGAGTCTCCTTCTCTGGAGATATTCAAGACCCGCCTGGACGCGGTCCTGTGCAGCCTGCTGTAGGTGACCCTGCTTCGACAGGAGGGTTGGACTAGATGACCCACAGAAGTCCCTTCCAACCCCTACCATTCTGTGATTCTGTGAAATACTTGATGCTTAAAATATTGACATGAACTATAGTCTAATGCAGAATGCTTTTCAAATATGGAAATGCATTAACAAAAAGGTGACCTTCAAAATAGTTTTCTGTTGAGTTAGTAGTGCTCTGTAATTCTGTACTAAAAGATGAGGTAGAAGATATTCTTTGTAAGGAAAAAAAATAGGAAAAAAAAAGCAACTACTTTGTTGTGAAGTAGCACCTGAAGTTCCCAGTAGTCAGCATGGCTTTCAGTCAGTGCTGATGTTACTTTAGGCAGTTTGCAGTGCTGCTGAGTCTGACGATGCTTTGAGTGAGTTTATACTCTTAACTATGCAGTTACCTTTACTAGTGTTTCAAAATAGTCAAGAACAAAATGTGTGTTTAGTCTGTTTTTCTTCTATCTTCTGATTGCAAATCTGGCTTTTATCCCTTTCTTCTTATTGTGGTGAGGTGTGTGCCTATAAGGACAGTGTTCTTTTAAAACCTGGTGGTAGATGGAAATGCTGAGAAATCAGAACAAAAATGAATTTTAAATATGTAATGATGTGAAGTTATTCGTAGAATGAAATAATTTAAATGAGTACTGTTTGGGAAACTCAGCTGTGTGCATGTTGATTAGATGTATAAACAAAAGGTAGCAATGTTTGTAATTAGTTTCTTTGCATTTGTTTTTTATTTTCAGCTTAAATATGCATGGATCTAGGGTTCATGTTGCTTAGAAATGCCTGTAAGCTTTTTGTTCGCATTTTTGTGTGTGTATACAATTGCATATGCACTCCAGTCTGTCTGCTTTCGTTGTGCCTGTTAGCAAAAATTTACAAAAGTGGTGCCATCGGTTCAGGACTGCATGGAGCAGAACCTGTATCTGCAAAATCAGATCCTCTTCGTTAAGGAATTAGTGAGGCATTCCCATGCCCTGGGGAGAGCTGCCAACGTCAGCAGCCCGTCCTGAGACACGCTGCGGGGACGGAGGGATGCAGAGCCCCGGAGCGGGGGGATGAAGGAGTCTGGGAGGAGGCCTGAAGAACATGCGTCACTTGTGGTGGATGGCTGGAACTCACTTAGAGCAGTTAATCAGCTTAAGCAGCGTTTTGGTTTTTAACTGCAAGGATACTTGGATGAGTTTTAAATCGGCGTGTTTTGTGAAATACACCTTACAGCAGTGATTAATGTGTCCACAAGCTCGTATCTCTTTGCTGGTGTGTTTCTGAAAGACAGCAAAGCTTCCTATTACTTAAACACTTGCTCTCAGATGACTGTTAATTAGTTGCTGCCCATATCTCTCTCAGATTTGGTAGATCTAAGATAACGATATTAGGAAGGTAGAATTTGAACTTAAATCTTTGTGCTTCCTTTTTGAATAATATTTCTTCAACCTTTAACATAAACAGCCTTGGAGAAGAGCACTGATGGTGACAGAGATGTTTCCATTTTCCTGGCTATAATAGTGGTGGCCTTTGGCTGCGGTTGAGGGCAATGGTTTTTGTTATGGCATCCCTGTTAATGGGGTTGTGGCAAGCAACGTGGACTTGTTTACTTGTCTTGTAACTCTCCACTTGTCACTTGGCAGGCTGAAGAGGAAACAGTGGCCTTTCTTGCTCACAGTGGAAGTGAAGAAGAGTTTGATCCCAGTACTCTTCCAGATCCTGATAAATACAAAGATTCTGATGAAGAGCAGGATTCAGAAAGTGAAGACAGCGATAGGTATGTACACGTTCTCCACGTTCATTTTGAAATGTTCATTTTTTTTAGAAACTGTCTTGTTTAGATGTTAGGAACTCATTTTACAGTCATCCTCTTGCTCCTTGGACTTAGTCTTTACGTTTGTTTGTGAGGTAGGTGCTGAACAGAAGTCTGCTAAAGGCTGTTATTTTCTCTTGTGAAGCTGTATGAGAAAAATTTTTGAGTCAGTCTTGAAGGGATCTTGGGAGACTGTTCCACATGCACTAATTCCCTGGAGGTTTCATGTATTTCAGAAATACATTTCTCTACTGTCACATTAGAGGTTCTGTTTGAAAGGAAAAATGTTGAAGTCATTTGAGGATTTGGATGAGCCCTCTGTACCTGTGCTGTATTAAATAAATTTGTGCACCGTGAAACTTGTAAAGTTTTATGATTCAGTGTTGCTCAGACTCTTCAACACTACAAATGAAGTGGAATCTGAGCTAAAAGTAAATATATAATAAAATGAACAGTGTTAAACTTTTCTTCTTAATTTTAAACATGTTCTTAATTACATAAACTAGAGGATTTTGTTTCTTGTAGTATAACAGAAAAGCACAGGGTGGGGATGAGGATCTGTAGTTGATGGCAACATACTGCAGTTCTTCAGCACATGCTGCAGGAAGATGGAGGGATACTGCATGAAGTCCTTTGTCGTTTTTGTCATTGGCCTCACTGCAACAAGGAGTCCAGCTGTGTGTTTCTGACAAACAGCATATCTTGTAACAGATTCAGAAACATGATCTTGACACTTAAATAGGAGTATAGATCTTTATTTTGCGCTCTTCTAGATGTCTAGCTCCATAAATCTCTTGCTTTTCATGTCTGAATCGGCTAAATCCTGGTGGCTAGATTGTCCCTAGCCCCGTTCACTGCATGTTGTGGAGGCAGTATGTAGGACTGGGTGTTGGGATATGGATTTAAGGACTGGATGACCCTAAGTTAACAGGCTGGTGACCATGTCCCCTGTAGTGCATTCACCAGTGTGTTGGTCAATAGAACTGACAGGGATGGGAGAAATGCGTTGATTTTTCTGAGCAGCAGTAAATTGCTCCTTCTTTGTGCAAGGGGGAGAAAGAGGGTAGCTATAAGTCAATTATAGTTCCTTCTGTTTTTTCATTTCCCTAAGCTGATTCAGTACCTCCACTCCATGTAAAATGAAATAAAAAGCTGTGTAAAACATCAGTACAGCTTCCTGAAAATAAGGAGAAAATGAGACCCATCATTCTTAAACAAGATTCTTCCGGTTCCTTCGGTATTTATGACAGCTTGACTCTGCTCATCAGCCTCTGGTGGGGGAAGCAGCATAATTTGTTAAAGAAGTTCTCTTTTAACGAAGTTTAGGATTCAGTATTTACTGGGGAGGGCTGTGTAAGAGCATTTGTAGGTTGCTGTTCACATGTTACTAGAGTCGAAATACATCTGTCCATACTTGATAAATGCATCCTCTAGCGGTACTCATACATTGCTTGCAGTAGAACCAGGTTAATACGATGAAACTTTATTGTTGGCTTCCCAAGGTAACATCAGTAATATGGTTAAAATAATCTTTTTAATGTATGAGATTCTGATGAAGAAAACATGGATATAGGGCTGCGATTTGAGCTAGAGGATCTTGTAAAACCCCGTTTTGTTGGAAGGGGCCATCTCTGGTCTAATATTAACTATTACACAGAGATCAGAAGAGAAGTGCATTTAGCAGTTCTGCATTTATGTAGGACATTAATGGAGGTGCCAAGAGAAGTACTTCAGGATAGTAACACTTCTTTATCTGGGACCACAGCAGTGCTGGTTCTGTCATTTTGCCTTTGAGAGAAAATTCTGAGCTGACTTCTGTAGTAGTGCGTTGCTGCAGGTAACAAAGTAGAGAGGGAATCTCGATAGTTTTTGGTAGTTTGTTTCTTGGAAGGAATAAACCCACGAGTTTATTGAGAAAATATGAAGTAAAGCTTTGGTAAGAGATTGGACACTGAGCAACGCTTGCCTTGCTTATTGCTGTGTGTGTTGCTGCTGAAGGACAGATTCCTGGAATCCATTATGTTGATGGACAGCTGAGCTGGTGGGAAGGAGTTACCTGCAACCGAGTATAGGAAACCTAGTGTCACAACGCGACCTATTAAATACCTAACTACCTCAGGCATTTCGTAATTACTGCTAAACTGTTGCATACTTCCCATAGGAAAAAGGTGGTGTTTTAGTGCTGCATTTCTTAAACAAGTTTTTGCATTATTTCAACTTGTAGCCTTAGTTAGGCTTAGCTATCTTGACAATACAGTATTTTGTAGCATAACTACTTTGTAAGTATTTTGAAAAAGTTATAGTCAGTCAGTTTAAAATTGGGAATTTTGTCTAGTTTTCTTTCAGTATCATTAAGTAACCATTTATCTAGAGGAGATCACTTCTGTCTTTTTTTATGTATTGATCCTTTCCCCAAAGATGTCAGCTAGACTGAAGATTAGCTAACCTTTAAGAATATAAATTGATAGAGATGGACAGATTTTTGGCAGTGGTAATCAGCTCAGACTTTTTGATGTCAGTGGCTGATCTGGGCCCCTGAAGTCAGAGTGTCTGCTCTCAAGGAGGGCTAAGACTCAAAGAAGGTTAAAGGCCTTGGTCATTTCCCCTTCCTATGAAGTAGGTTGGAAGAGAAAGAACATACAAAAAAGGAAAACAGGAATGTAGTAATAATTTCTGACGTATTTTCCTCAGCAAATCTCAAAACACAAAGGAGGTCAGTATGATTTTTGTAGGCAGGAATGTGAAGTCACGTAGTAACTTGTCCTAAGACCATGGCAGTGACACAGGTCTGGGAATAGAATTCAGGCACCCAGAGGGCCCATTCTGTGCTCCATCCACCAGACAGGTAGCATTCCCTTTGAAACTACAACTAATCACACGCAGTAACTGATTTTTTAAAATATTTTTCTTGTTTTCAGTATGCCACGTTTACACATGTAAATTTAATACCACATAGACACAGTTTAATCCTTTTAGGTTTTCCATTTTATTTGGCTTGTCCTTACTTGAGTGAGTTTTTCAGGGACTATTTTCTTGGAATTTTGATGTCTACAGTATTTCAGTTATCGCAAGGGGATTAGTCTTGAATGTAGTTTGGGCTGAAGAGGGTAACTTTGAGCACAAAAAATACACTGAATATATGTGATTCAACTGGAGTTGTGAGATAGACTTTTTTCTGCCATGTATTAAGGCTTGTCAGGTTTTCATTTACTAAGTATACTTTAAATGTTGTTTGGACTATGTTTGCAAGTGACTTTATAACAAAATGCAATGTTAGAACATTTTCTGTGGTACACTGCTGTCTACGTTGTATCTGTGTATTTGAAATACAACTTAAAATCTAGGAGGGTTTTACCGATGAAATTTTCTTTTTTTAAATTATGAATTTTGCCTTGAGCCTGGCAAAGGACGATTTATTTGGAAGGCTGGATTTTATTTGGTTTTTGGAACTTAGTCATGTGTGGAAGCTAATTTGTATAAAAATCTTATTTAAGATTTTGCATAAAAGACACCAAGGCTCATCAAGTTAAACACATCTTATATTATAATTTCTTTATATATGGATTTAAGATTTTCTGGATGTTTGAAAATGTAGTTGATGGCCATTTCAAATCTCAGCATTATTCAGCTCTTTAAAAGGTGATCTTTTAAAGAAACTGTGAAAACATAAATTTTGTTAGGATTTTCACATGCAGTATCAGCACATTCTTGACGTGCAAACCCTGCTGACTTAACACAGTTACCGCTTTTTGACATTCATTTTATGGCTACAAAGTGGCAATTTGGTTTTGTTTCCTTAAGGAAAATATTTGTGGTAAATCTGTCAAGACCATTTAAGGCTCTGGGGATTATAATCTGGCTGGGTCACTTCTTTTGATATCATTTTGGGGGTTTAAACTTTCCTTGGCTAGGAGCAGGACATTCTTGGGGTAACAAACATGTCTCAAGAACTGCCATCACTTGAAGCTTTGTAACCAGCCTCCGTCAACTTCAGTACACAGTACTGGTCCCAGTTGTTTACCCTCACTTTTGGTTGACTTTTCAATGATAGGAAAAGTCCTTAACTTCCTCCAAGGGGGTTTTTAAAGGTTTTTGTTCATTTTTCCGTCTGTACACAATCGGATTGAATATTGTCCCATTTTTCAGTCTTGTCTGTGTTTGCTGGAGGACTAGGGCAGTGGATAATAGGTGTTTTCAGCCTTTGTTAAGAAGGCAGGAAGACTGGTACTTGGAAAGTGAGTCGAATTGCTTCAAGTTCCTCTCCAGCTTTTGAGCTGAAAGGGGGTTAACAAGGACCCAAAGAGCGTTTTCAAACAGCCCAGCTAGACCTGACGTTCAGAGCTTTCTGGAAGAGTCCACATCACTTTAGGCACTGCTCTGATGGGAAAAGTACTACAGATAAACCTGCAGCATCAAAGAGCACAATTCTATTAGCAGCAGCGATTTCCAGAAGCAGATAGCAGAGACACTGGTATTGTATTGTTGTCACGGCTGGGGACAGGCCGCGAGTGGATTTGTCAGTTGTTGCTAAGGATAGTAATTAAATTGCCGTGAGTGGTGAGAAAAGCCAGGGCAGGTATGCAAAAAGGAAGAGGAGAGTGAGAAACTGTGGGATGCTCACAAGGGCAGGAGCGTTGGGCGACAACGTGCTGATAGGTTTAGATGACAGGAGCCAGGACAAAAGGACGTTTCTAGAAGTGCTTGAAAGGAGCATCTCAAAATTCAGAGCCATTGATGGCCCCAGTGTGCAGCACAGCATGTGGTGGTTAATCCTGCACTGGTTCGGGAACATTAGTCACGTCTTCACGGGCTGAATGGGTTTGGCCAAGGTGCGAGCTTACGTACTGGCACGTGACTGTCCGTATTGTCCACAACTGCTGTGGCTTTGAATGGTGCCAACTAGAACTCTTCTGGGTGACATCCCAGCATATTTTGATGAGGTGGGACAGGCCAAGGACTGTTTG